TCTAAGCCTATAAGTTTCTTACTAGATGAGCTAACGGGGTCAATCAATCGTCATTTTGTAGAGCGTTTTTTACTGCATCTTTTCTTCATAGAGACAAATTCACAACCACTTGTTTCACTATAGAAAAATTTATTATTCAAATCGAGTCAGGACTTCTGGCCCACCCTTTACTTGGTTTGTTTAAATGGTTTACTGCATGTTTTTCAAAAACACACATTCATTTTTTGTCCGAAGAAGACGTCATCGACGTCGAAACGTAATAAATAAAAATAAATTTATTATCAATAACAGGAAGAGTAACTCAATATATTAATTCTTAAATCTAGAAATGCTCTAGAATTCTCAATTTAGGAATGCAACATAGATAATAACTTTATGGTTCGATCTCAATCTTTTGATTATTTGTTTTCCTACTTATGTTACTTTCTTTGGCTTTTTATTCGATTTTCACCTTGGGAATGAGTTTACTGAACCATTAGATCTTAGACAAAACGAATAGGTCGTATACAACATTCTTGCATACAACACAGAAATTCGTTCACGATGATCTCGATCTTTTCTATATGAAAAATTTATGACAACTCAACTTACTAATGAAACTTATTCAAATTCTAGAATATTGATGAAAACAATTTTAAAAGTAAAATTGTGTTTGCTCACTAAACATTCAAAATACTTCGTTTTACATAAATTTTTTTCGTTCTATAGTAGGTATAAGAAGTGTTCTGATATTTCTGAAGCAGCAGCGCAACTGAATTATACATAGTATCTTTTTCTCATAAAAGGATTTTAGAGAAAAGATTCGAGGCAAAAAAATGTGAAATATAACAGGTGACATACAGAGATGATGACTAAAGTAATTAGAAAATCAATTAAAATGAGAAGAGAAAATGGTCTATTCTTTCATTTAACAATTGCTTAATGTACTTTTAATAATATGACAATTGTCTGATTTAGTTTTTCACGCTCTTTTCAATTTTTTTTTTTTTGATCTTTAGAGAAGATATAACTTTTTTTATTAGAAAGCTGAAACCTTGCACTTTCGAATGTGACATTTGAAAAGTCAGATGCTCCTTGAAAAATATTAGAAATCATAGAGAAAAAAATGTATCCGAATATTTATTCCCGTTCAATAGTCGACAATAGTGTTAGAGAAGGCTTATTATACATACTCATATAAGATCATTAAATATATTTCAGATAGAAAGAAATGTTGAGCAGACTTTCCTCTATCCAATGGTAAACGAATAATTTTCTCCATATCTTTTATTTCAAGAGATATGGGATCCGTAAAAGCTTACAGTCAGTATCTAAATTCTTCTTATACTCACTGTACTATACAAACACATCCGCTTATTTTCTTGTCTGTTCAGATGGTATTCTTTTTTAAGGCTGTGCCACCGGATAGAAACATAAAATTTTTAATAAAGAATCGATATTGAGCTAAGCACATCATCAGGCAGCTCACAGTATCTACGATCAGAATCCAGCGTTATTTGGTCCTCATCCGAGAGTTATGGAGGTTTGCAGAAAACTTTTCTGAAAACATTGAAAAGCTGCCTTTTCGAAAACATTTTTGTTTCCAATAGAAAAACAAATCCAAAAATACTTTCCATGACGCCAGAAAATAGAATAAACATTTCTGATCAAAATGAGATATCTACCAGCTCTGAATAAAGCTCTGATCAAGAGTTATGAGGGCTTTACTGGAAGCCCTAAAACATGCATCAGATATTGACGTCACCATATCTCGAAAGCGACTTTCACGTTAACACCATTTCGTAGCTGTAAGATTTCTCGGTAACAAAACATCGCAGAGAGCTCGGGAAGGTCTTAAATTGAAGCTGACATACGTGGTTAGAGGCTAACAGAGCCCAATTTTGATATTCGGCCTGGATTTGTGGTTAGAAAAATGTCTTTTAGCAAGTTAACGAGACTTTTTCGAATTTTGGACTTTTGACGCTGACCATTGATTTGAAAAGTAAAATATCAAAAATCCAGCTCTATCAGTCTCTAACCACATATGTTTTCGCCAACTTAAGACCAGCTGAGCTCTTCATTTAATAGGAGGTACACAGATTCACGATGTTACTTCTGCGAGTTAATCTGGTCGTATGATATTTTTTGGAGACCAGCTACACAGTGGAAAATAAGAGAATCGTCTACCTCTATATTCCATCATCTGAACATGATCTAGACTAAATTCTAAGCACACCATGAGGCAATACTAAAAATACTTTTTAGGTGTCAAATCACTTTTTGCTTGAAAAATATGAGACTTTTTGTAATCGATAGCACGTCAGTTAGGTCTTTGGTGAGTTAGATTCTTAAAAAATCGGCTTTCTAAAGTTCAAAATTTTTTTCCAAATCAAATTCTGGTCAGTCCCGTATGAAAAAATAAATGACTTAAGTCTAGATACAACTGATATCAGTAACAGGCCGTTTCTAAGTATTTTATTCATATTTGTCTGTTTATCTGTTCTTTATGTATTTGATCCCTGTAAGAGCTAGCGTCACCAAACTTTCCATGGCATATCCTTAGGTCCAGAGGAAGATAGAGATGGGGTCGGTGATGGTGAGGGTGAACGTGTATCAAACAGCTTTGCAATAAAAATTGTATTTCATTGGACACAGTCATTTTTTAATAAAAGAAGCCGATCAAACAAAAAGAACATAGAAAAGGATAAAAATGTTTTTAAAAAGTTTAAAATGACGAAAAAAAAAAAGTTCAAAAGGGGAAGTGATCCGAGCGCATTTTGCGATATCGAAGTCCGATAACTGATAAGAGGCCATAACGATGTCTTTTTCTAATATGTCAAGTATGTAATATAAAATTTTTCCGAGCAACGCCGGGTACCTCAGCTAGTGAGCTATAATCACGAACCCTTCAAAATTATGAAATGTTACAAAAAAAAGGAAAGAACATACGTTACTTGTACTATAAACTGTCATTATTGCCTACTGGCGTATTTTCTTTTGTTTCTTTTGATGCCACTACCATATTGTGAACAGAAAGAATAGCAGCACTAATGACTATCAATGATGCACCTATATAAAACAGATAGGTATTTCGTGTTCGAAAGAAGATGTACTGTAAAATGACAGCTACTACAATGTCTAATGATCCTAGTATAGTCAAAAATTGAACATTTTCTCTTTTTAATGCTTTAGCATAGAATGTATTCGTTATTAATTGAACAAAACCAATTGCTATGCCTACAGTTAACATCCATTTATAAGGATATGGTTCCGGTTTGAATAAACGTCTTATCAGACTATAGGCAATTGAGACAAGTAATGCAACAAATGTAAACTGAAAGTTCATTACGGAAAACGGCAGTTTTGTTAATATTAATTTTTTTCGAGCAACTAATTGTATGGCTTTTGCAAGTGCACAGATTGATGCGAGAATAAGGCCTAAATAATAATAATAGGATGGTGATTCAGTAATTACTATTATTGAAATATTGATGGATGATAGATTGTTACTGTTATTAGAAAATAATGAATATGTTTCATTTAAATTATTCACTTTCAATGATTTCAATAATATATCGAATAAAAATTTCGGTTTAGCAGCGAGCACAAGTCCAGTGAAAGTTAATACAAGTGAAATAGCATTTACTTGAGTAAATTTTTCCTTGAGAAAAATCACAGCCAAACAGGCAGTCCATACAATATACGTGTAACGAACCGTATTTAAATCAGATAACGGTAGAAAATAATATGCGGTAATATAAAATAAATTAGTCGCACTCGATGTCGTTGTCATTACTATAATTGTACTACGTTGACTTTTTTCACCAAATATATTATATTTTTTATATAGAGCATAAACACCGAAGACAATTGACTGGATAAGAAAACGCATAATCAGTATGTCGAACATATCGGCTGGTATTAATTTTAAGACGAATGTGCAACATGTGAATATAAAATTTGCGCTTATCCAATACCATATACCCGATCGTTTATGTAAAAAATTGAGAAATTCTTTTAATTTATTTGGATTTGAATTTAATTGGTGTTCAATTAATAAAGACAATTTTGTTTCATTTAATTTGCTTTCTACAAGTGGACATTCTGGATTCATCGATGTGGATACTGTTCCATTTCCGCTACTTACATCCGTATTAAACTCATGAGAAATCTAAACGTATAAATTTTTGTTTTATTTTGTTGTTTTCAGCCATGTTAGATAACTTCTGTCTATTCCATTGACAAAGAAGTCTTTAGTGTTTTGAAATATGATGACATTTTAGAAATGTTTCTGTAGTTATGAAAACTGGGGGTTAGCGAGCGATAATCACTATACGTTGTAAAAGTAAGCTGATGTAAAGCAAGGCGTTAAGTGTTGTCTATTACGTGGATATTCTCCCGTATTAGCCATGAGTAACTAGCATTATTTTGATATTATAGTCTTTGTTACGTGACAAAATATAAAGGCAAAATACTCTGACGTCGTAATCATGTGTTGAGTTAAAAGAAATGCGTGTTTACGTACATTTTTATGCATGTCGTTATTCATACCTATTGAATATATTGGTAATAAGTCATTTCTTTTCTCTTCCCAACTTCGTTCTGCGCAGTAAAATCATATATTCATATCTATTGAGAACATAAGAAAAAAAACTGTCTTTTTTTTATCTGTTTTTTCTTTCTTTTCTAAAGAAATTATTTAGCTTTTTCTGACGCAATGTACTCAGGTAAACTACGATCTTTCAACAGTGCAGACATATGATGAGAATATAATTTGATAACATATTCTTATTTGACCTGCACATTCGAGGGCATTTTTCACTGAACTAAATAATATTAGTGCCTTTCGATTGATTATACAATCAGTCTAAGAGAGATTGCATATTTATATGTAATAAGTGTAGTACTCTTCTTCACATCTTTTGATTGATAAACTTTATCTCGTAAGGGTGATAGCAGAATAATGTGATAATTTGCGACATGGTTTATATCTCTAAGTTAAAAAATTGGCCTTAAAACAAGTTGTCTCGACCCGCGACAACTTGTTTTAAGGCCAATTTTTTGGCCATTGTGTGTCACATACAATGTGAAGGTCCTGAGTGCAAATCCTAGTCCGGTTACACAAGTTTCACTTAGATCCGCTCCAGTATGAGACCCTGTTTGTAGAAATCGTGATAAAGTCTGAAGTACCACATGGTTAAACATGGAAAAAGTCCAAAATTTGCGAGCGTTTTTCATGTATGGTAATAATCTCAGTGCCAAAATTTGTCAAGAATTTATGGATAAAGTTACAGCTGCCTAAGTAATAAGGTTACAATCGTTCCTTTAGAGGAATCAACAAGAGCAAGTCTTTACACAAAGATATCTCACATCTCAGTAACGGAGCCCTGAGCAAAGGTATCTTATATCTGTCATAAAATTATGATTACAAGTAACCTGCAAAAAATAATTTTTCTTTAACCCGTCGGCAAAATAACTCAAGCCAAATCTGCTTCGTCTACACATGTTCTCAATTTGTGTGTAAAGGGATGAACACAATAGAGGGCCCGGGTCTTATATCACGTCCTCGGAACATGCCGGAAGTTGGTGGAATTCGGTAAAATCGTACCGGCAGTAACCATACAGGAAATCCGTTGCTCGGAATCTGTGCCGGAAGATGTTGGAAAAGATCCGACCGGATCCGACATCTTCCGAGACCTTCCGGCCGATGAATCGGATTTCGCTGGATTTGCAGAATGTGAGCAATTTTAAGGTTAAAAATAGTCTTAAATTTTTTCTTTCATTTTCTAGTGGTTCTTCTCTCTGTTGATTCGAGAGGGGCCCGCTAGCTAGGACGTGTATAACACGTCCGTTGAACAGTGTGAGCGATGACTCACATTGTTAAGAATTTGAGAAGAACAACTTCTCATTTTTTATTTTCTGCAGTGTCGTATTTAAAGTGCTCCTGTGCATATCACAGGATCCGTCGATTTCCGGTCACTGGAAATTAACGGATCCGCCCGGTTTCGGATATCTCCGGATCATCCAGAAAAAAAAATATCGGAACGCAAAGGAATTGAGCAGATTCCGATCTCCGGATCCGATCGGGCGTCCGATCTCCGGAAATCATCGGAATTAAAAGGATCCGGCAGGATCCGATCGGGTGTATTCGACCTGGGAACAGCTGAGGGAAAAGACAAGCGTAAAGATTAGTTAGTTTGATTGAACCTCAAAATCAACATATTTTAGGTCAAAAAATGGATAAAAGAAGGGGGTCTTCTAACGTGGTTTTTGCGTTATGAGTTCAAGAGGGGTCTTGTAGCAGAGGGAGTCTTCTATTGTAGGGGGGTCCTCTATTGTGTCCACCCCTTTAAGCTTAACATATTTGCCATTGTAATTTAAAATTGTTTCTACAAGTAGAAAATATGGCCGATAATGGAGTCGTGGGTGATAATGGAATATGAAACGCGTCCTATCAGGCCGATTATATCAAGGTAAGAAGAGAGATTTAAAAAAATCGTTTTAGCATTTGTTTAATTTCGTTGCTTTTCTACAAACCAATCGCGTTTGCTCATATTGTTACAAAAGAAGATGGAGAAAAAAATTATTAGAAAGCATCTGAGAATTAATATGTCCGCTGCAGAATGGCTGATTCTGCTTATAATGTCGTTCTGCTTGTAATGTCATTTTTCTTTCTGGTTGATTTCTTTCCGTTTTATACACACAAATATAGAAAGGGAATAAAGTGAAAAGTGAAAAACTTCTTTTTTTCATCGAAATGTTCACTGCACACACTATGAAATTACTCTATATTCTGTCAACTTGACAGATTAAAAAGTTAACAAATTTGAAAGTGCTCCTCTCTAGTTTTTAAGAAAATTTGCAGTACACAAGCTGTACTGTATGCCGAGCAATTTTATTAGAAAGGGCACAGTCTACTTTTTAAGGTACAGAGCTGTCAATATCGCTGTCATGCACCTTCTGTGTGCATATAGAAATAGATATAAAGCAAGAAACGATGAAAAGAACAAATTTTATGTTTTTATCGAAAAGAAAAATCGCACTCGCTATAAGATGAGTGTATATTCTGCAACTTCCCAGACTGAAAATTTAACAAAT